TTATTCCCTCGGCATACAGAAGAATGGGATAGGATAACAAGTGTTTACATTAACTACAAAGGCTGAAATGAAGAGTGCAAGCATGCATGAATCACAAATCAAATGAAACCATGTGTTAAAGTTGGATAGTAACATATAATGCAATGGTGGCTATAAAAGGGCACTCTTATTTTTCATTTCTACTCACTCGTTTTGATAGAAAATCTATGTGATAGTTTCATGTAAATTTTTGTCTTAATACAAAATATAAAATTAAAACTGAAAATTTGTTGTGTTCGTATTCTAACCTTCCCGGGTAAGACATTACTTTCTAGGACCAACAGCGCCTGCCCAAAAGGGTGGGTGAGCCGGGCAACGACCTAGGGTATCAAAGCCAAGGGGAATCAACTTAGGCCAATGTTATTACTAATCCATGTCTATCCCCTCTGGAAATACTGTAATTTTTAGCACGAAGTTTGTCACATTTTATAACTAATCTGGTGGTCAAGAATTATGATTGCTCCAAAATCGGCATATGTAATATTCCACGGTCATTCTAATAACCAAAATAAAGAGAAAGGAATTGTTAGTCGTTAAATTTCAAGGACTTATAGCGTAAAGCGATCAAAGTGAAGGGTTTAGACCCCAAAATTGAATGCAATTTAATGACAGGAAACTCAATGGTCATGAAACCTACGACCATTTATTATGGCTTATCGTTTCATATTCCGTGAAACCTTCGATGAGGATTAGTGTAAAATGGGAGTTTGTAGCTTTATGTGTAGTTTGGGGTTAAGAAGGAGAACTATTGTGAGAAAAGGCGACGATGGACGCTGTAATGAGAGTTGACGGTGCTCTATATCGTAGTTAGTTTGGTGATTTATTTTTAAAATGGTTGCATGTCTTATTATCTAAAAGTTGTTTGAAGTTTCTCGAGATTTTTGATATGCTATATATGCGTGAAAAGTTCGATATTTTTATAATATGTGTTTTGAGTACTTGTGTGTCAATGGGGATGTACTACGGTATGATTTTGTAAAGACGAGCATGCTTTGTGAGCTTGTCTAAGCCGTAAGTGCGGGCATGCTGTGTGAGTTCGCCAGGTAATGCTGTATGAGGTAGACATCTCCCATGACACTGTTGCTTTGTGATGTAGACACGCACTATAAAATATTTATTTTCTGAAAAGTATTATTCTCATCAAGGCATGTTAAATTTTATGAAGCTTTGTGAAAATTGTGTATTATAAAAGTTGTTGTTCATGCATGAAAACCGTGGATTCACTGGGCCTAAGGCTCACCCAAAACTCTTTTAAAACTTTTTCACCCAGGCGGCTGTTAGACTGGAAAGAAAAGTTGGATAAAGAGAGAAATAAGGATTAACATCAAAGAAGGACATGTGCAGATCAAGANTGGATTCACTGGGCCTAAGGCTCACCCAAAACTCTTTTAAAACTTTTTCACCCAAGCGGCTATTTAAGTGGAAAGAAAAGTGGGATAAAGAGAGATAAGGATTAGCTCCAAAGAAGGATATGTGCAGATCAAGACATTGTTATATAGAGCAAAGTTATGTTCCTCAAGATTGTAATTTTAGATGATATAAATTGTAAGATAAGAAATTTTATTTCCGCTGCAATGTAAGTGTTTGATCTTGGGATACTAATTTTGTTATATTTAAGTATTCGAAAATTTTGGGATGTTACAAGTGGTATCAAAGCAAAGTTTAAGTGAATTAGGTTACTGAAACCTAAACTTAAACTGAGGATGGAATATTTTATTATTGATAGATGTGTAATTAAAGATTGATTTATAGTGATGAGAGTGGTGATTTAAGTTAATTTGGGGTTACTCTTAAACCAGATTAAAGCAGAGAAGTCGTTAGATGGTTTAATATCCCTGGATATAATGACATTGATAGAGAAGTGTTTATGCAAAACACATGGTAAGATGAGATAAAATAGATGTAGAGTGGTGTTGGTGGATAAAGTTTTGGTGACAATGACGGGTATCGAGTCCGGCATATAATAGAATTTATAAAAATAAGCCTATTATCTCTAAAACACAACTTGTGATAGTGATAAGTAGGGTCGTCTCCTCAGGAACTCGGTGTTAACCGTAAGTCCAAAACGTAACAGCGTGCAAATTCATTGACAATAAAACACTATATATTAAAGGGGGGTGGATGATTTATAAACAAGTAGAAAATTTTGCCAACTAAATAAAGACTTTTAGGCGATATACGAAATAATCTAGCAATGAGTATTGATTGACTAATCATGTGAATTATGTATCACTGACCGACCAAACCATTCTCTCAAAGGATCTCAAATCGGATTGAACACCAATACGCATTGACATTCTATTTGACATAAAACATGACTAATACGAGATGCCCCGATAACTAGCCTCTAATCAACTAATTTAATCCAGTCACGGACTTGGAATTCAATTGTCAATTGCATTAAGTTCATACAAATACCGAAACCAACCAATAAATGGACGTCGTTTATGTGAGTTGGGTTATGCCATCCTACAATACATACAATTAACACACTTGCCAACCGTGTATCATTTGCTACTAAGAGAAATTTATAAACAATTACGGATTCATAAATCACCCTAGCAGTTCAAATCCAAATTAGACTAAGCAAGAGATCCAAATTACGTAATCAAACTTGAATAGGAGAAAACAAAAGGGCACAAGGATTGCATAAATGAAATCAAATGATCATGAACCAAATCCAGTCTCAACACAGTCACAATCATAATCAATTAGCTACCCAATTGCTAGAAATAAAAAAATTAGCTACTCATTTCCAAAACTGATGTAAACTAACTTGTTGATTGAAATGGAGAAATTGACGATAAACCTTTAGAAATCGTCTCAGAAAACACTCCTAAAATCTGAAAATTGGTCCTTTTTCTCCTCCCAATCGACAGCTTCTCTCGATTTCTTTTACTCGGTTTCTGCTTCTGTTTGCTACCGCCTTTCAATCGACTTCTGTCTCCTCTCGATTTCTCCTCCTCTCAATCGACAGTTTCTCTCGACAGGTTATGTCCTCACGATTTCTTTCGATTTCTTCCTCTCCACAGCTTCTGTCTTTTCTGCTCTCGATCGACCATTCTCCCCCCTTCAGTCCTAATCGACTTCTTCTATTTAATCCCATCTCTCTTTCCACGATCTCCCGTCTCTCTCTCTCTCTCTCGCTTGATGCCCACGTCCCCCTCTCAATCACCCACGATTCTCGTCTCTCTCTCTCTCTCGCTGTTGGTCTGGGCAGCAGCCCAAGGCTGTTGTTTCTTTGTTTTATTTTCTTTTCTTTGTTGTTTCATTCACACGGGCTGCTTCTTGATCTTTTCTTCATGGGCTGCTTTTTAGGCTTTGCTTTTGGACTGTGCAGCAGGGCTGTTTGGACACATTTTCTGTGTTGTTTGGATACAGCAGCTGCTGTTTGGAGACAGCAGCAAGGCTGTTTGGCTGCAGCTGTTTGGACAAAAAAAAAACAACTAATCAACACATTTTTCTCAACTTTAATGGCCTCATATAGTTAGATTAACTTAAATTAAAGTGACCCTTTTTAAGCATATATTTAACATTAATTGTAAGTGTTGGTCCCGAAAGGGTCTACAAGATAAGAAACAGTTTGTAGAAGGGGGGGATGAATACAAACACAATGTTTTCAAATTTAAAATATATATTGATAGAGAAGATCAATATAGATTTTACAAGACT